GGTGACCCGGCGGAACTTTCGCGAACGTTCTGCGGAAGTTGGTCAGATGTCTGATTGTGAGTAGTTCTCTCCTTTTTGCTTTCCAACCTGATTATGTAAAATGACATTTTCAGACGGGTCGGGTGTTAGTATTCTTCATCATATCCGCTCCAGTATCTATACACGATCTATACAGTTTGCAAAAAGAGCAGAAAAAGCATAATGATTTAATAGTCACGGATTTGCCCGAATCTTACGAAAATTTGTTTATGAAGGTAAGCTCTAAGGACTTCTTACCAAATACTAAAAAATCACTGCAGGTCTATGCATCTATTGTTTTTCATCAACAATACTGTCCTGCTGCACAGTTCCTTATGAAAGTTGATGACGATGTCGTAGTCCACCTTGATCGAATGATCGACTTGTGGAAGAGAGGTGATGGAGCTGGTCGCTCTATGTTCTGCCAAATATGGACCAAGTCACGACCGAGGAGAGATCCTCGGAATAAGTGGTGAGATTGTGTCCGAATCTCTCTATCACGTGTTACGATTGTCATTTAGCTCAGAATCGCTCTACTTCTCCTAGTCTTTACAAGTATTAGAATATCCCATAAATTTTCACTGTCTTCAATTTCTCCCGTGATAATTGACGCTCGCCTTCTTTGTCCAATAGTTTGCTGTGCCATTCGTTAGAGCAAGGCAAGCTCTACAAGATGGCATCCAAAGAACATGTGCTCAAGTTTGTTCAACATGAACTTGAAGCCGAAACCTAAAAAGATTCTAATGCTCAAAAAATCATAAAGAGAAAAAACTTTATTTTCGTCTAGAATCTTACAAGTTCCTACTCTCTATTTTTGTTTTTCTTTTTTTTTGTTCTTCGAATTCATATATTTTTTCCGCGGCTTCAGCTCGAACATACTCTTGCAAAATACCGAATACGAAAAAGTTTTGCTTCTTTTCTGAGGCAAAATATGACCCTCCATGGTTTAAAATCTCTTTCAGAATTCCTACCGTATCCCTAGTAATGAAGAGCAATCGGTGATTTGCTCCGTACCGTAAATCTAAGTTGATGCCTGCCTCACAAATGGTAGCTGAAGCTTTTCGAAAAACTTCATGACAAGGGATCCGTTAACGGTAAACGTTGATTACAATTGGGACACCCTATATATAAATGCTGGATGTGGATAGTACATGCTTGAGCAAGTAGAAAGTTAGTAGAAATTTTTCAAACAAAGATACAATTTTTTCAACTTTGTGGGGATTTACATTTTTTTAGATTTCAGCTTAGAACTTTATATAAAACCAACTATAAGCAAATATTTGTTGGGATACCATATTGTAGAGCTTGCTTTGCTCTGTCAAATGATACCGCGAAACCTTCTCAAGAAGATGGGTTACTGCGGGAGAAAGTAAAAACGGCAGAAAAATCATGAGGCAACACACTAGATTACAAAGCCATTCGACTGCTCCCTTTCTTTTCATGAGTATTATTTTCTGTCTCCACCATTATCTCTTCGCTTCTCTCATCTTACCATTCCCAATTTCAATATAAATTTGTTAGCACGAGGCACTGTTTTGAAATATACA